GGGGGAGAGGGGGGGGGGGGGTTACGCGAGGGGGGGGGCAGAGGGGAGCATGGCTGGGAGCCAAGCGCAGGCTGGCGGGGGCTCGGGCGGCTCTGTACAGGGGGGAGGGAGAAGAGCTCCCAGCCGATACCCGCACCCAGCCAGCTGGGGAGAAATAGGCCCAGAGCCAAGGGAGGCTGGAAATTCAAAGGCTTGTGGGTGTCAGCGGGAGATTCTGGACCAGCCTCCCCCAGCCGCAGAGGGGGCTTGGCTCCGGGCAAATGCTCCCTCTGTGCCCTGACTCCTGGGCCCAGGCCCAGCCCCGGGAGCCCCGTCTGCTTTATGCCTCTGCAGTAGAACGGAACCTGTGCGTGGGGGGGACCTACAGGCCAGCTCCCCCCCCCCCCCGGCCCAGGCAGGCGAATGACTCCGCAGCGTCCCTGCTCTGCTGGGGATGAGCTGTAGCCCCTGCCAGCCCCCCGTGGAGTCCCCAGGGGCGCTGGGCACAGGACCGGCTGCTGTTCAGCTGTTGTGTCACAGCCCCCGTGCTGGGCGCAAGGTGGAGCTAGAGCCGTTTATCCCAGGGTGAGCAAGGACAGGGCGCTGACCCAGGGAGGCCCCGGGCTGGCTGAGAGCTCGCTTTCAGAATGGCGACGCGCTGCCCGTTCGCTTCCTAGCTGCAAGTCGGGCAACTGCCGGCTTTGCCTCCTAGCAATGCCCCTCAACGGTCACTGGCCGGGCGCTGAGACACGGCTCCTCAGGCCCGGTGCTCTCGCACGGCTCTGGGACGGTCCTGGGGGACCCCTTCTGTGTATCAGCCCCCTTAGTGTCTCACACTCTTGCTGCAGTCAGCCCCTCGGCGTCACCTCCTGGGACTGACCCTCGGCGCCTTCAGCATCCCTCCTTCCCGCTGTGAGCGCCCCATAGCGACTCCACCTGAGTTGGACACCCGGGGAAGACTTGCACCCTCAAAGGGAGCACTGCACCTCCAGCTCCCTTGATCTAAGGTGACTCTCAGCCAGCCGTGTAAAAGCAGAAAGGTTTATTAGATGTCTGTAACACAGCGTAGCAGGTCTTTAGTTAACACAGACAATGGAAAGTTACAGCCAGGTGGATCTGGATCCGTCCAGAGCCCTCTAACTCCTCTTTGATCCCAGTCCAGAAGGTTCTTTCCTGCCTCCAGCAGCCCACACTTAATAACCCCCCTCCCCCCCCCTGTTAACCATGCACCACACAGGGGAAACGTACACATCCCCGGGGCCCGGTCGCATCAGTGTTCTCTCTCTCTCTCTCTCTCTCTCTCCCACCCCTCCCAGGGAAGCTAGTGATCCAGCCACCAGCCCGAGTTCAATGATAAGTCTGGTCATGGGCCAGCTGAGGCGCATTGCGTGTAGGCTAAGGACTTAGACCTCGCCCGCTGTGTGGGGTTCCCCCCCCGGCTGCCGGGAAGCCCGGGTTCCCCTTGGCTGGCGATGAATCCCTGACCCCCATGGTCAGCGTCATCACGTAACGCCTCACCTGGTAGCTGTACGTCCCTGGCCCAGTGCCCAGCATGGCCCAGTGCCCGGCACGGCCCGGCAGGAGTGGGCGGTGACCCCTGCCCCCCGGCACTGAGTGGCTTGGGGCACATTCACCTGCGAGCTGGTGCTGAGCCTGTGAACTGAGCACGGGTCCCAAAGGGCTCGGATGGTTCTCTGGCTCTGAGGCCTGGACAACGTTAGACCTGTTAGTGCTGACATCGGGCAGGGCTCGCCAAGCCTGCCATCCCCACCCACTGCCAGGGACCCAGGGGGCAGGTACCAGCTCCTTGAGGGAAAGGTGGGGCTCCTGTCCCCTCCCTGCTAATTACAGAGTCTGTGCTCACCACCACACCCCATCCCATTCAGTCTATGGCCCGGCACCTCTCCAGAGCTGGGTGCAGCACAGGGCCCTTGTCAGGGTTCCCTCCCCACTCTGAACTCTGGGGTACAGACGTGGGGACCCCCATGAAAGACCCCCTAAGCTTATTTCTACCACCTTAGGTTAAAAATTTCCCCCAGGCACAAATTCCTTTCCTTGTCCTTGGACAGTATTGCTGCCACCACCAAGTGATTTAGACAAAAATTCAGGAAAGGGTCCCTTGTAATCCCTATCCCCTCAAAATATCCCCCCAAGCCCCTTCACCCCCTTTCCTGGGGAAGCTTGAGACTAACATACCAACTAATTGTTTCGCAATGTGAGCACAGACCAAACCTTCTATCTTGAGGACACTAACATCAATCAGGTTCTTAAGAACTTTATTATAAACAAAAAAGTAAAAGCATCACACCTGCAAAAATCAGGATGGAAGGTAACTTTACAGGGTAATAAAAAGATTTAAAACCCAGAGCATTCCCCCTCTGGACTCAGCTTCACAGTTACAAAAACAGGAATAAAACTACCTCTTAGCACAAGGAAAATTCACAAGCCAAAACAAAAGATAATCTAACACATTTCCTTGCTATTACTTACAATTTCTGTAATTCTTAGATGGATTATGCCAGGTATATTTTCAGGAGATATTGTCCCTGCCTGGCTTCTCTTTCCATTGGAACAAAAGAAGAGCGCACAAACAAAACCTCCCCCCTCCCCCAGATTTGAAAGTATCTGCTTTCCTTGTTAGTTCTTCTGGTCAGGTGCCAACCAGGTTATTTGAGCTTCTTAACCCCTTACCAGTAAAGCGATTCAGTACAGCTGCCCTTATCTGTAGGTTTATGACAACCCTCGTTGTGCGTGGCAAGGCCCATGAGTGAGAGCAAGCCCCCAACTCCCCCCACCATTGGGCCGGGCGCTGCCCAGACCCTGACCGAGATCAGGGCCCCGGTTTGGCTGAGTCCTCCACAGACACATACTGACACTCACTGTCCCAACACACTCACGGTTTACTAGACAAGAGCAAGAGTCTCATTTAACAAATGGGAAACTGAGGCACAAAGTGCTTTGGTGACTTGCCCCAGGTGTCTCACATAGAGCCAGGGCACAACCCAGGAGTCCTGGTTCTCCCCCTCGCACCCCCCCAAACTCTAACACACTAGCCCAGTGATATTCAGTGAGAGCTACCCACTCTTTGAGAATGTTACGACACAAAGCAGCCCATTGGCACGTCTGACAAAAAACACTTCAGCTGCCAATAAATACAACCCCTGAATGCACGGTAAGTATTAGTAATTCTATCTTCGAACACAGTTTATAACGCAACATTATTACCCGTCTTTGTGGCACTCGCTAGTGGGAGAGGTGACAGCGACAAGTGTGATGAGTGGGTTGTAGGCGGCCAGGCCAAGGCCCATGCACGCATGAAGATGCTCGTCCCTCAGGTGATTGGGTTTTTTATAATGTTCATGGCAGAAAACCCAGCTTCGCAGAGGTACATTGGTCCGAACACGGTTAAAAGCCAGATGCTGGCTATTCTGAAACTGGTCAGCGGACTGAGTCCAGAACTCGCAACATCCCGCTTCTCTGGCTTTTGCCTTCAAGACATCTGAGCTCTGGAGCCTTACAATTTCTAATAGAAAGGCCCCTTCATTGATAGACTCAAGAGTGATCTTTGCTTCAGAAGGGTGAGGTCCATCGGCAGAGACAACAAATAAAATCAAATCCTTGGGAATTTTAAAATTCTCAAATCCCATTTTAAAAATTTTGATCAGATTGTTTAGGAATTCGTGCAGCGTTTTCATTGAGGTTTCATCTGTAGCAACAACATGCAATGTGGTAAAGTGCAACATCTTTCCTAGTTAAGTCTGCCTGAAAGATTTCAAGATTCCTCTGACAGGCACACAGTTTTTCAGACAGATCCCTGACACTGCTTGCACGACCATGGAGCTGCAAGCTGAAGGAATACAAGTGACCAGTAATAGCGCACAGAAAAGCCACTTGTGACATCATTCATAAATTCCAGGAACTTGCAACCTCGTTGGTCTTGTGGTTTGAAAGGAATTCTATTATTTCTTTTTGAAGCGCACAACACCTGTATCATGCATCCCACTACTTAACCAGCGAAAGTCATGCTGCAACAGGTCACTGAATTCGGCTGAAATGTCTTGTAAAACAGTTTTATAAAGACAATGTTGCAAGCTAGAAGTTGAGCGGATGGGCAGGGATGATGTCCCCTGTTTGCCAGCATACGTACTTCATTAATCTCATCACAATACCCATTGTTTTTTTCAAGTCTCCAGAGAACTTATGCACAGGCCAGTCTGGTGAATGATGCAGTGAAGTGTATTTAATTAAGGGTGTATCACTGCCACATGTGAAGCACAGCTCATCTCTTTCCCTTTCACGGAGGGACCTCCGTCTGTAACAAGCAAGTTTACTTTCTGCAGACCTAAACCCTTTTTTTTTTCAAAAAAAATTTTACCTTTCCAAAAATGCTCCTTCCTGTGGGGTAGGTTTCTAATGGTATTAAGCATAAAAATTCTACCTTGAAAATTTCACCATCATAAAATCTAACAAACAGCACTGGCTGGGGGGCGTCACTTAAATTGCTTGATTTGTCCACCACAGGAGCCATGTTTTTGGCATTTTTAAATCGGAAAGTAGTGCTGACAGACAATCCACGTAAATTACAAATATCAGCCACTCTTCGCACTGCCATGGAATCAGACAGGGGAACCTGTGTCACACAAGTCACAATGTCAGCTTTGTTTTTATCTCCATCAATGAGCTCCTCCAGCAATGTGCGCTCCTTCACAAGCTCGGCAACCGGGAAAGGCCTTTTCCTTTTAGCTCGTGCCCACATTCTCCAATGAGAGGCAGCCGTCGCTTTCCCCTGTACAGTTGCTGATCGCGTGAGAACATTTCAAGTGTGACACGAAGACTTCCGATTTTTCAATGTTGTCACATTTTGCAGCACCACCAGGAGGCCAGGCCGTGTGGAAGTGACTGTGCTTTGAGTCAAAGTGGCACCTCCCAGTGGCAACCTTACAGACAGATCCAGTGGTTTGGCAGAGGAAACACAAAGGCTTTGCCTTTAAATGAAGTGGCATAATAAAGAGAAAATCCGCTGTGCAGCTTGGGTTAAATGCTTGGTTTTCGCTGGCGACTTTGTGACGTTTACTCCCCCCCTCGCATTTGTTTCCGGCTCCATTTACATCACCAATGATAAAACAGGCGGCGTCCCAACTCAGTCGTAGCCGATGCTATCGGAGAACCTAAGCTCCAGTTCATTACTTACTAAGGAAGCCAGAGGCCGCACATCACTGCTCATGAATTTAGTTACAAACATTTTTTTAAGGTGAGCTGGCAGGTCACATTTGGCCCAGGGGCCGCCATTGACCAGCATCGCACTAACAGCTGGGGTTAGAACCCAGGAGTCCTGGCTCCCACCCCACCCCCACTAGGCCCGTGGCTCTCACCCTTTCCAGACGACTGTACCCCTTTCAGGGGTCTGATTTGTCTTGCGTACCTTCAAGTTTCACTTAACTTAAAATAGACTTGCTTACTAACTCAGACATCAAAATACAAAAGTGTCACAGCCATGATTACTGACAAATCGCTACTTTCTCCTTTTCACCATACAATCATAACATACATTGATTGGCATATAAACATTGCACTTGCATTTCAGCGTATAGTACATAGTGCAGTAGGAAGAAGTCATTGTCTGTATGAAATTTTAGCTT